AGTTCCTCCTAATCCTCCTATAAGTGCAAACATATGATATTTGTCCTTCTCTGCCTGACTTATTTCGCTCAGCGTAACACCCTCAAGGTCCATCCGTGTTGCTACACATGGCCAGATTTCATTGTTTCTCATTGCCATGTAGTATTCCATGGTATAGATAAACCACGTCTTCCTGATCCATTCGTCCGTTGATGGACACTTGGGCTCTTTCCATGTTTTGGCTATTGTGGAGAGTGCTGCTATGAACATTGGGGTACACGTGCCCCTGTGCCTCAGCATTTCTGTATCCCTTGGGTAAATTCCTAGCAGTGCTATTGCTGGGTCATAGGGGAGTTCTAGTGTTAGTTTCCTGAGGAACCTCCACACTGTTTTCCAGAGGGGCTGCACCAGTTTACATTCCCACCAACAGTGTAGGAGGGTGCCCGTGTCTCCACATCCTCGCCAGCATCTAGAGTTCTCTGATTTGCTCATTTTAGCCACTCTGACTGGCGTGAGGTGGCAAATACAGAGTTTCTAAGTGCTGCATCGCTTCTCAACCTCTTGGCTAAGATCAAGTGCAGAGTTTCTAGGTGCTAAAGACACGAGGAGTTGTGATGAGTCACAGTAAATGCGACAGATGAAAAATTCAGTTCCATCCAGTTTTTCTTTATTTAAGTGAATTTTTTGCACTGATAAAGAAGGTAATAACCAAATTGTTTACACACTCACTTTTTAAGAATAGTCATGTCACAGAGACAACTCTGGCGAGGTAACCTTGATGCCTTCACAGAAATGTGCTTGTCTTAGTCTACTTTACTAACATTAAGGGTTCTATAGAAAATAGTGCTATTGAATGTATGGTATGGCAGCTGAGTCTTGGCTTGTTTTTTGGCATCAGCTGCCTCCATCAATTCATCACAAGGAATCCATGCTCTCCTTGAACTCAATGATCTCAGAGTATGGGCCATCCTATTGAGTGAGTTGTTTGATGCCATTTTCAAGTGTAGAAGTGTTTTGCAATGAATGCTTCCCACTGGGCATAGGACATTCCATTGGGATCATATCATTCACCAACAGGACAATGACAAAGGTCCACTGTAGCTCTAATAGCTGCTCTGTGGGTAGGTCCTAGCACAACATCAGTCTCTCGGAATACCTGCTTATACAGACCAACCGTAAAATAATCTGCATGTAAGATACTTTTTCCAACTCTCTCTAATATCACAAGGATGATTTATCATGGTAAAAGCTGTAAACACCCAAGTAAGTATTACATGAACACTTCCGGCTTTAGTTCAAGGTCTTTATTACTGTTAACATTCTTATTTTTGCCATAGCTAATGTTTTCTAACTCTAGACCAGTTAATTTCAGGAATAATCTATGTCTTTGCAAGTCTGCCTAGCTAAGGCACTTCTGACACTTTTTTGGCCTAGTGTATTTAAAAATCAACTTGTCATCAGTAACTTAGGGACTGCTTTTCTCATACCTATTATTGTCATATAAGATACTAAAGTAGTATTTTTAGAGCTTGAGAATTGCTTTTGGAGCCCAAACATGTAGTTAATGAAATAACCATTGATTGCTTCTTCCCTCTCTCTCTTCAACTGCAACAACATTGAGCATGTGTATATATTTTAGCGAGCAAGACCTGGGAAATCTGAGGCAGGTTATCTCCTACGCTCTGGCTTCAGGGAACGCAGAGCCTAAGAGAATTAGATCTAAAGAAATAACTCTGTGGGCCGCATGTCAGCTGAGTTACCCTGTCCACTCAGATTCAAATAAGAGCAATTCCTATCCTAACCTAGAAGTAATGGTAGCCTTGAGTCCTTCCCAGTCATTTCGAAATAATTTTTTATGGAGGGAGGGAGGTAGAAGAGGTAGGAGCGTGGTTAGGACAATACTTACATTCTCCCTTTTCACCACTGGCTGCATCTTGCTATTCCTTATGTCTACGTTCCTGCATCACATTGCCTGAACTGTGGACCCTAACTTCCACCCCGAAACTTCGCACATACAAGACATTTGTTTGCTGGCAGACTTTACTGGAAGTTTCAGATGATGGAGGGATTTCACACTGTCATTACTTGCCCCCACCTCTGTATACATCCTATTTCCTCACTGGTTAGGCCTTTACACTTTAGCCCAGAAGAGAGAAGCTTAACAGAGATGTAGAAGGTGAAGGATGAAATGAAGTGTGAAGGATGAATAGGCAGTGGCCAGGTTGTGGGCACTTGACCGCCGTGAGGGGGGCTTTGTTTCCCTGTAATCAGGCAAAGCCTTGCATCTCCTGTAGCTCTCTGCTCCACGCTCTCTGAGCCATGTCTGCTCAACACCTACTCATGCCTCACACTTCAGTGGTACCAAAGAACAGTAGCGGCTGAAATTTTCTCGTTCTCTCCCAGCCCTGACCCAGTCCCTGGAAAGGGAAGGGAGCATCATAAAGATTCACTGATACTGAATTATGTCACTTTCTTTAGAAAGCAATCCTGGCTATTTTATTTATTTATTTTTATTATTTGTTTAACGTTTATTTTATTTTTGAGACAGAGACCGAGCTTGAATGAGAGAGAGGGAGACAGAATCCAAAGTAGGCTCCGGGCTCTGAGCTGTCAGCACAGAGCCCAACGCGGGGCTTGAACTTACGGACCGCGAGATGATGACCTGAGCTGAAGTCGGCTGCCCCGCTGACTGAGCCACCCAGGCACCCCAATCCAGGCTATTTTAAATGTTATAGTTTCCCCTCTCTAATGGCAACACAGTTTGACCTAGCTCCGTCCTACATCCAGGTGCTATTATACTCTCTTAAATAATGGATTCTTTACTTCCCATCTGAAGCTGTGACTCTAAAAGTAAATAACAGCCATATTCTACACGAGGGGCAGTCTTCAATGGCTACTGGAAAATACACTCTTAAATAACAACAAAAAAATATTGAATACCTAATTCTGTCACTGTTAAAACACCATGTTATTTTTGTTGAGATGTAGTCAGCAGGTAACTCATTCACCTCTTAACAATGGTGAAGGTAACTTTAAGTTAAAAAAAAAAGAAAGATTCTTCTATAGAAATTAACATGCCAAAAGAAACTTGTTTTTTGAAGTTAATCTTCTTATGGATCAAGATGACAGAATTACAAAGTCAAAGGACTAAAAGGGAAAAATCAAGACTTGAATGGTTGGCCATTTAAGAATGAAATGATCAAGGAAACATGCAGATCATTTCCTTATTGTAGCGTTCAGGTTGAAACTTTTCATAGAACTGGTAGGATGCTAGGTACTCCCTTGAAAGTTGTCTTTTCACATAATGCTATCCATTCCATAACAGAAATGCATCTCAAGAGTAAAATGGCCAAGTTGAAGAAAACTAAAGGTCTCAGGAACACATTTTAATGTATTATTGAAAGTTGTTTGTAATTCTAAGCTGCAGTAGATTGTTTCTAAAGATGACCATCATAAGTCCCTTCCTCCTCTGCACCTATGTGTCATTTCCGTATCATGAGATAAGTCAGATTTCCCTCCCCTTGAATTCGGGCTGGTCTGAAGTTCTTGTTTGACCAACAGAATGAAAACAGCACTTCCAAGGTCATAGAAAATCTGTCAGCTTGCACTTGAGCCTCATGGAACATTCCTCTTGAGATGCTCTTGGAACCCATCGGCCATGCTGTGAAAAGTCTAAGCTACATCGAAAGACCACATACACAGCTCTAGGAGACAGTCTCCGCTAAGGTTCCAACAGACAGTTGGCCATGTGATTCAACTATCTTGGCCGTTGAGCCCATTTGAGCCTCCAGATGACTCCATCCTCATCTACCATCTGATAGAATCTACGCGACAGACTTTGAGCAAGAACCATCCGGTTGAGCTTAGTCAATGTCCAGAGCCATGAGAGATAATAGTGAAGTGTTGTTTTATGCCACAGAATTTGTGGATGGTTTGTAATAGAGCACTGCGTAACAAGAAGAGACATAAAAATGTTTTGAATAATCAATTTGATCTTTCTTTTCAATACCTTGCATCATCTTTTGGAACCAGGTCCTATCCTGGGTGCTGGGAATTCAAAGATGAATGAGATATGATATGCAAAGCCTAATATGTTTGCTTAAGCACCACATAGTTGGTGAAACAGACTAATGAACAGAAGAATATGACACGGGATGATGGGTGCTGTTACAAAAGTGTGTTTAGATCCTGTGGGATCACACAGCCTTGGGAAAATGAATCTGTTTTTGGAAGGTGGTGAACAGAGTGAGACTGGAGACTGAAGAAGAGATCACATG